GCTGCCCTGGGGGGACGCGCTGTGAGGCAGCACTGCGAGGACAGAGGGGACGGGACGGTGGGGACTGGCAGGGACTGGGGAAGGCCCCTTGAGGAGTTTGAGGGCAAATGGAGCAACCCCCCTCCTGCCGGGGCAGAGCTGGCCTCCCCCCACTCCAGACATCGAGGGCAGGACCAGGCCCTCCCCCCACGGCTCATGGGGTCCCCAGGAGCTTCGAGCTTGCACCGTCCCCGCTGCTACCTCTGTGCCTGAGCCATAGTGCGAGTGACGAAATAAACCATGCTGCCCTCCCGCGTGCGGCGCCCGCTGCGGGGCGGCTCCGCACCCAGCACCGGCCTTTATTGTGTCTCCCCGTGCCGCGCACCTGGGCTCAGCCCTCCCTGCATGGCCCCTCACAGCCCCCCAGCACCGCTGCCCCCTGCCAGCACCCAGCTTTGCTCCAGCAACGGTGGGGATGGAGCCAGCGCTGTAACCAGCCCTTCCTCTGTGTCAGCCCCTGGGGCAGGGGCCAGACTCTCCCTGCCTGCTTCGTCCCTGCTGCGGAAGAGCTCCCAGCCTGGGAGCTGGGAGTAATTCCGGTTTCTCTGTCTGCGTCTTGAACGCTCAAAGGGGATGGGGCTTGAGCATCTCCCCTGCCCCAGGGGCAGAGCTCTCTTCCCTGGTGCTCCTGCTCTTTCCTGGGTGCTCCCGCTCCCTTCCCTGGTGCTCCCACTCTTTGCCCTGCGCAGCCCTCACTCCTGGGGGAGGGCGCCGGGCACCCCCCAGCACCTCCACTGGCTGCGCGCTGCGGCCCTGCCCGGCCGCCACGCAGTCCCGGCACCAGCCACGCTCAGCTCCGCGCCATCCTTTGCCTTCAAGAAGGGGGTTAAGTGGCTCTGCCCCAGCACGTTGTCACCGCACGGCAGCTCCACACTGGCGTCATCGCGGTGCCGTAGGCAGCCGGGCTCCCCCTCTCTGTTCCGACGCCAGTTGCAAGCAGCGCTGGTAGAGCGTCCCACCGCTGTCCTCCATTGTCTGCGCCTGCTGCTTCGCCAGGGCGCCCGCGGGCAGGGAACCCCAGTGCCGTAAGGCGCTGCGGAGATGCCAAGCAGGGACGAGCAGAGCCTGGACCGTGGCCACGCAGCTGTGGGTGAGCAGAGTGGGTGGCTCCAGGGGCAGCCGCGGGCGGGGCAGCGTGGAGGA